CACAGATGTCAAAGACTTGTTGTTTTGGAGATATTTTATCTTTTGGAATAAATGGTTTAAAAGAAAATGCTTCGGGCTGTTTTACCCACAGACGATGTGCATTTATTTTAAAATAATGAAGAAGAAACCTTGCAGCCTTTATAATGATCCACAATATTTCAAATTCATATTATAACTCATTGATCTTTATATGATCTTAAGTTGATCTTGGGCATTATTTGTGGCTTGACCTTGTTTGATGTAGAGTTTGTCAAAGGTTTAAAGTAGACTAAATAAACACATTTTTCCCTAAGTAAAGTGGCAGTAATTTACTAGTAAAATACTTAGAAATATATAGGTAATGATAGCTAGATAGGTATCCCAGACATTAGAGTGAACAACTCAAATTAAAATTATCGCAAAGAGTCTACTTAATAATAATAATAAAAAAAGGCTTAAATAGGGGAGAATTTCTTACTTGCATGACATGGACTTATCAAAATGAAATTTTATTTTTTTAATTGTTGTAATTATTTTCAAATGCACTTTAAAGAAAAAATACACCTTTCTTATTCTAATTAAATTATCTTTCATAGTACTTATATTTCTCTCTATATACCACTTTTCATAATTAGAGATAAAATAACAATGAATAATTCCACATTATAAGGAATAAGACATCTTTGACATTGTATTAAAAGCATAACTTGTTTAAAATAGAAAAACTGCCAGGCCAGCATGGCTCAGTGGTTGAGCATTGATCTATGAACCAGGAGGTCACAGTTCAATTCCTGGTCTGGGCACATGCCGGGGTTGTGGGCTTGATCCCCAGTAGGGGGCCTGCAGGAGACAGCCAATCAATGATTCTCTCTCATCACTGATGTTTCTATCTCTCTCTCCCTCTCCTTTCCTCTCTGAAATCAATAAAAAATATATATTAAAAAAAAAACTAGAAAAATTAATTTGTTAAAATTATTTTATTCCTATTTGATGTAAAAGACCATTCTATTATATGCTCATGGCCAAATGAATCTTAATTTTTAGTGCCATAACATAAAAGTTAGATTTCCATGAAACTAATTAAAAAAGAATATCAGTTATGGTAATAAATTTAATGATAAAGTTATATTAATTGAGCTTGAATTCTCAACTATATAGTTAATCCACAAGGTAGTTAAGCACATTTAAAGGGTTTTATGTTATTGAATAAATACTATTGAAAATTTGTTAGATTCAAATACCTAAGTATCTTTATGTGAAACTGCATATTCAAAAACATGGAGAGAGGTGATGTTTTCTGAAGAATTCATAGGAAAGAATATTACAGTTGGGTATAAGAATTTTTCAATGCTTTCAAAAAGTCTGTGCTTTGGATCTCAGATCCATGCTTTTTTAAAATATGTTAAGAAATTGCTCAATTTAAAAATTATCATTGGGCAACTTTATTCCTAAAGCATTATGCTTGATATGGAAGTCAATTCTAGTTAGAGTGATTTAAATTAATAAGAAATTTGGACATCTGATTTATTTCTAGGGAAATTTTCCATCTTTTCTGGTTCTAAATGGCACAAATTAACTGCTGCAGAAGAGAAGTGTTTTTGGTGTAGTGTGGTATTTCCAACTGAATCCAAAATTGCACATTAAGACTGGTCACTAGTACATTAGAATCTAAAGTATTTCTAACAAAGTACTATTGTAAATGGCCAAATAACAAATATTTTTGGCTTTGGGAGCTACATATGGTCTCTGTCATATATTTCTCTTTGTTTTGTTTTACAACCATTTAAAATTTTAAAACCACCCTTAGCTTGAGGATAAAAAGGCCACCGGCTAGATTTGAATCACTGACCCTAGTTTATTAATTCCTAATCTAAGCTTGTAAGACCTTGTTTAATGTAGCAAAACATCTCCTTATTCTCAGACACATTGTTAGATATCATTTCAAGCCTCAGGATTTCTTTCTTATATAGTTTCTCTAATCTATAGACTAATCATGGTGCAGATTCCCATAACATACCCACAATAGTATGTCTGAAAAGGCAAAACTTTCCTCTTGGTAAGAATGGCTTTCTTGAATGAAAAATATTTGGATAAAGAGAGGATTAGCTTTAAAATATCAAAATGCATTATTTAGTTCACCTTTCCTAACTTCATCATCAACACAGTGTCTATTTAGTGACTGCTTTTGGGTCAAATCTTTTTTTAAACAGACCATACAGCCTGTTCCTGCACTGCCTATCTCTCTCAGTTTCTGCACTCATTACCTTCTTACATTTTTCCTCACAGTGTCTGGGGATGGGACTCACTGAACAAAGGCAGAATGTGAAATAGAAATTACAGTGTGATGAGGGAAAGAAAATGTTGCCTTTAGGCAGGTTGTTATTTTAAATGCAGTGCCAAAGATATTATTTCATTTTACAGCAATACTTAAGCTCTAACATTTTGTCTTAAAACAAAAGAGATCATGGTCTAATGACCATAGGGTTGATCTCTAACCACAGTAAAAATGCAAAGGCTACCCAGACCCTGCTAGAGGCGGTTGGGGATGAAAGGGGCTGAATCTAATAGGGACTCTTTACCTTAGAAGTATTATAAGAACTATTAGGTATCAGGCGGAAAACTGTAAGAATGAATATTTTGTTGTTGGCTTATCCATGACCTTTGCTTTTTTCAACAAAGGTGATTTTGCACCTACCACCTATAAATGTGCCAGAGATTGCTTTTGGCTCCAGGGATATAACATAAAAAAGACTGTCTTTGCCCTTCAGTATCTCAGAATCTTTCCTGCCTTCTTGATTGGCTTTTTAAAAAAACACATTTTCAAATTATATCTACAGTCTCCACAAAGTGATCCAAGATCATAAAGTATTCACAGTTTACTTCAAGTCCTGTAAATATCATGGTCTTGCAAGTAATAGCATTTATTGTAATCATTTGTGAACTTGGTTGTTTCATCCACTATCTAGAACTGGAGTTTTAAAAAAATCCCCTAATCTATATACAAATATTTTGTGTGTAGATCCATATGTGTACTATTCTGTAGAAGGATTCAGATTTTTTTTTTCTGTGTCTCGGAATTCCATGATCCAAAAGAAAACAAGAAATGCTGAATTAGATTCTACATTTTTAAAGGCAAGGATTCCTTTGCAAAAATTGAAATGACAGTTAACTTATTTTCCATCAGAAATATAAGTATAGGAAAGATTAGGTTCTTGAGTTCATAGTTTACTGTATTCTTGTACTGTAGCTATATCAACCAAAAAAGTCTAATTATAATCATCCTCTCTATAAACTTTTATGTCCTTAACAATCTCATTTTTATGTCTTTTCCTAATGACTTAGTTGAGAATGCTGATGTTTTGCAGGTTCATCTCAAGTTGTATTTTACTAACAAAAGGGGAAAATAGTATAAAATTCAAATTATCTTTGAAAGGTGATCCTTTTTTAATGCCCAAGAAATATTTGTCAGTAATGATGAGAATGGAATTAAATAAAAACCTTCATTACCTACCATAAACTTTTAACATAAGACAGAAGATGGTTTTAGACAATGCTTTTAGGAAGTGATGTTTATGAGCTCAATATACATTAGAAAGCAAGACAACAAGCCCTCTCCCTCAGGCATAAGCTTTCTGAGGGAAGGACAGTACTGCAATTATTTTTGTGAGTTTAATGTCTAGCACTGTTTTTGGCACACAGTAGAAACAAAGTAAAATTCTTTTGACTTTATGAGTGAAAGAATAAATAAAGACCTTTAGATAAAGTAGGGGTGGAGAGTTTGGGTAAATTTTAGGTTTCTATAGTGAAATTTGGATATTCACTTGAAGGGGAATAACTTCACTGAGATATCTTTATCTTCCTTAAACTTTACTCACACATTAATATAAAACAAGCAAAATGAGATAAATCAAAACAAAAATTAAAAAAGCTCAAATCCCACCTGGCTGGTGGGGCTCAGAACCAGGAGGTTAAGATTCGATTCCTAGTCAGGGCACATGCCAGGGGTTGTGGGCTCAATGCCCAGTAGGGGACATGCAGGAGGCAGCCAATCGATGATGTTTCTATCTCTCTCTTCCTCTCCCTTTCTGAAATCAATGAAAATATGTTTTTTAAAAAGCTCAAATCCCCCTCTTAGATGAAAACCTGATATCCTCAACCAGAAGTGATATTCTCTCTTTTAATATCCCATAATACTATAATCCCTCTGAGAGTATTTTTGTTACTTGCCATGTTATTTTTAACTGTGAATGTAGCTGGGCCAGCTGAAGCCTCCTGGTTTATTAGCCAACTCGGTAAATTTGACTAAAACCCAAAACCCACAGCCTATGATTGGTCATATAAATCCAACTTTTATACATTTCTGAGGGTTTTTTTTTTCCCCCACATCTTCTCTGTCATAAGATATGAAATACTACCTCCTCTAATGTCTCTATGTGGTATCATTTACCTTAACCCAAACTGGACCAGAAATTTAGTGCTTTCACTGGTTTCCACAAAAATCCACATACATGAGGCTTTCAGTAAGTTGAAAAAATTTGCAGAAAAAAAATGAAGAATACAGAAAGGCGACCTTATGCCATTCTTTTATTTTTTAAATCTTGAACTTTACCTTGAATCTTTGCTCTTCCTTCCTCTACTCAGGATTTTCTCCTCTCACAGTTTTAGATTCTTTTTTTTTCTTACAATTTTTAAAAAAATATATTTTTATTGATTTTTAGAGAGAAAGGAAGGGAGAGGGAATGGGACAGAGAGATAGACACATCAATGGGAGAGGAGCATCATCAATCGGCCACATACCAGCCGGGCTAGGCTCTTTTTCATCTGTTATGTAGAGCAGCTTCTTCTTCCTCCTAGGCCTTTTCCCTGCTATCCCTCAAACTCGGAACACTCAGTGCATTTCCCCAGAAAAATACAGCTTTATCCTTCAAAAGTATTCAGTGTCAGTTGTTAAAGTTATTGTACTTTGTGCATGCTGCTCATAAACTTTACCCCTTATTTGCATTTCTTCCTGCAACTGTCTCAGGGTTATAGGAACCTCTCAACGATACCTCACAAGGATGTGGTGTGGTTCATCTCAAGTTGAACTTTTTAATTTACTGCTTCATTTGATCCTTCAAAATAACTAGGTAATTGACAAGAGAGGTTAAAGCAACAATAACTCATTTAAAGAGGTTAAGTGATTTTTTTTTAAAAAAAATAAGGTCATATGATTTAACAGCAGAGAAAAGATTGGAACCCAGGTCTTTGGATGCCAAGTGCAGTGCTTTCTCTTACATCAGCCATAAACAATAGCTGGATAAATAAATACCTAAATAGTCACCAGAAAACATCTACAGTTAAATGGATGTGGAATTGACAGCAAGAATTTGATGACTCTTCTCTGAAATGGGGTGGAGTGGTAGTGGGGGAGAGGCAAGATCAAATATTACACAGACAATGTAACATCCTCCCTCCCCCCCAAAAAAGACAGAAGTATTTTCTTACATTGTCACACCTAACAATCTAAAACTTATTATTGAGTATTATCTCATGCTGGATCCACTGTCAATTCCAAAATATATCCAAACTATGCTTTGCAACCTCTAAACTGTCCTCAATACCTTTTTGGTAATGCTCTGACTTGCTGGTCTTCTACTATTAGGAATTTCCCACATTGGTAGGAAATATTCTGTTCCCCTGAGTCCTCGTGTAAAAAGGGTATTGGAGGCTAATGAAATGATTTTTTAATAGCAGGGTCAACCAACCTTTTCTGTCAGATAAGGCCACAAATTCACCTGTGATAGGAGTGGGGCACTGGACAAAACAGAACTTGGGATTTCAATGCCACCCATCCTGAATTCTTACATTTTTTTTTTCCTGCAAGGTGATTGTCCAAAGTGGCCAAGGATGGAGTTTGGAGACTTCCTTGAGATGATAAAAAAAGGATGTAAGACTGTTTTTGTTCTTTTTTTTCTAATACTTATTTCATATTTGACAGGTATTTGTTTAAACTTGTATTCATTCACTTGGTCGAAAGGCGATGAAGAAAGAAAACAAATATTTGGTTTATTCATTCTCTTTCTACTTTTAGTACAGATAATAAATATTTGACTAAATCAACACCAAAATTCATACACATGGCACAAACAAAACAAAACAAAACAAAACAAAAAACCCTCCAAATAAGTGAATATAAAATTACTTTCAGATTTGTTTATTTTCAATACCAACCAGTACCAGAATATTTCTGGTACAGTCAGACTAATCAAGCCTTTACAAATAGTGTGTAGAGATCAATAGCCTTTAAGATATTGGCACATGTACATTTATAGCTATTGACAAAGCTTAACTCTCTTCAAGAACATTCCAACTAATATTGGCATTCTGCTTTATCCATTGACACTCACCATGATGTACTGTGGAAGACTTTAAGACTTTCTCTGTTTGACTAAGCTTTACAGTCATTAATGTTTAATCACTTACAATTCAGTAAGCATTGTGCTTTCATTTTGCATATGCCTTGTTTATCTTGTATATAAAGTAAATCAACAGTGCCTTTCTGGTAGTCTCCCAATACATTTATAATCAGTCCCATTTGGTGATCTGTGATGAATATGAATACAACTGCTATTTGGAATTACTTTATCACTTTATACAGATTCTGAATTCAATTTTTGCTTCACAACAATTATAAATTAAAAGTAAATTCCAGCCAAACACTCTGAAACTGTGAGCATATTGGAATTTGGGGGCAGGGGGGAGGCGCGGAAGCAAAGATATTCTTTTTTTTTTTTCTAATGTGCTATTTAAAATATGTTGTATGTTCCATGAATTACTTCTATACTATGTATAAGAAAAATGGTTACCTTAAAAATTTGGGGGATGAAAGAGATTTCTAGCCACTGAGAGGGTCAAAATTCTGTAGTGCCCATCCTTACAGACAAGTAGCACTCACTCATGGAATGGTTACCCTAGGAAACAAAAAAGGGACCTTGAACCATAGTTCTGCACATGCCGCTGCAATGAATGCGCACCATTGTACCATCATCCTCAGGGCACTAGTGAGAGACAAAATGCACTTGGCTGAGGCTGTGGAACATGGGGGCACGAAGAACCCGATTCAAGAAAAACATACTGGGTAAAGACACATTTGTCGAATTTTAGCAGACTCCTGGCATTTGTATTTACTCTTTGTTTACATTTGGGATTTTACGGAAATGCTGATGATTTTGCCAAGTTCTCTTTATACTCTGAAAAACTGAAAATGTAGATTAAAGCACAATTTTATTTTACTTAAGAACATTTATTAACATCCTCAGAAATATTTTTAAAAAACTGGTTTCAAGGAAACTTAGAAATAATTGAAAACTATTCATATAGCAAATGAAAATGTCATTTCCTTTATATGGCTCTACAAGTGAAAAAAATATATATAATTCTATTTTTCCCTCTCATGAAACTGGCCCAGAGTGTGAACAAACAAGCCCCACGCAGGCTGGCAGATCCTCAGTTATACTTTATTGCTGTCAGAGCCCCACCGTCATGTCAGGTATCAGATTTTCCATTCACCTGTCTCTATCTGCAAGAAAAAGGATGTTGATGTCTAGCTTTTTAAAGAAAAGTCTGCATTCGTTCTTTATTCTGTTCTGTAGAGTTTGAATACATACTCATCTTTTATTGACACGCAATTCATAGTCACAGGATGACAGGAAGATATAGCAATAAGCAGAGGTTCAGAAAACTGGGTCCATTGTAATGTCAAGAGAATAAGGCAGAAGTCTGAAGCTAAAGTGTCTGTGTGCTGACCTAAAGGGTGGCCACAGCCGAAATGCTCATAGGGGAAAGGCACAGCTGGTCTCCTTCTGTCCTTACTAAGTGTGGCTGGTGGCGAGTTCTACCCTTGGAGCTGCCCTATTGCATCTACTTCAGTCTCAGTGCATAGGACTGTGTGGGAAGTCAACTCCCAAGGTCAATCCAAACATACATTTTTGGAAGCCATTCTCTGGACTCCCAGACTGATTTTCCAAGGGTCTTTGTGATAATGCCTCAATTTATGTGCTTACTGCTTTGCAGGTGTATGTTTCAGAGGCACATCCTTGACTCCTCATGTGTGCCAGTATAGATTAATTTTTCTGATTGATTCCTCCATGTCAGTGAGTCTCAAACTTGTGTGCATCAGCAACTGCTGGGAGTTCATCACAAATTCAGATTCCTAAGCTCAGATATGTCTGGATAGGATCCAGGTCATCACTGGGCCTCAGTTTAAGAAATCACTACGTTAGTAAGTGTGTTAAAGAAAGAGAAATTTCTTTTAGATTTCTCTTTTCAAATGATTTTATTAAAAGTATCATTAGTTATCCTATATAATAAAAGCCTAATATGCAAATCGACCTAATGGCAGAATGACCGGTTGAAAGACTGGTCACTATGATGTGCACTGACCACCAGGGGACAGATGCTCAATGCAGAAACTGTCCCCAGCCCACAGGCCCCAGGCCAGCCAAGGCAGGTGCCAGCGGGGTTCCCCCGATCGCCCTGCAGGTGACCTCCCTTTGTGGGGTGACCTGCAGTAGGGGGTGGGGCTGGCTGACTAGTGGGCTGGGCTGCCTCTCCAATCTCCCCACCAGCAGGGGGTAGGGCCAGCAAGCAGGCAGCGCCAGGCTGGCCAAGGCGGGTGCCAATGGGGGCCCCCCGATTACCCCGCCAGTTGCCCCACAGCTCTGCCCTGATTGCCAAGCTAGGCCTAGGGACCCTACTTGTGCACGAATTTTGTGCACCGGGCCTGTAGTTTGATATATTGGAAAATAACTCAGATAATGATTTGGCAGTTTTTGGATACATAAAACAAAGCTAATCAAGTGTAGTCATCTTGTATAATAATAGAGGAATATGCAAATTGTCCACTACAGCATCATGTCATGACTGGATCAGCAGGCTGCATCCCCACCCTCTGCTCAGCCAGCTGCAAGGCCCAGGGTAGGATAGGATACGATAGGAGGGGATAAGAAAGGAGAGGGAGAGGAAGGCAGGCCTGCATGCAGACAGGCCAAGAGGAGAAACAGAAATACAGAAAGGGAACAAGAAAAAGACGCAGGAATGGAAAAGGGAAGGAACACAGAGCTGCACGCAGGAGTGGGTGGCGACTGTCAGGGGACAGAGCAGGTGTGCTGGGCAAGGGGGAGGGTGCAGACAGTGCGGAGCGGGGAGCCCTGCCCAGACATGGGAGGAAGGTGGTGTCCCCTGACGTGGGCCATTAGTGGGGAGGTACCCACAGGTCCAGGACGGAGTGGTGGATGGTCCGAGGCCTTCTGGGCGGAGGTACTCCTGCTTTACAGCAGCAGTGCCTGGACCACGCAGGCCTCGACCACCCTTGCTGGACTAGGCGTCCCAGACAGGGAATGGGAGCAGGACAGCAGTGGGGTGGCTGGGGAGGGGGGGGGGCAGTAAACACCTGGCTGGGGCTGAGCCCTGGGCTGGGGGTTAATGCCCCCGCCCCCTCAAAAAACAGAAGCTTTAAGAAGGGAAGGAGGGAAGGAAGAACTTTATAAAGGAGTTAGTAGAGAGCAGAGTTAAAGAAGGAAAGAGGATGTGTGAGTGAACTGTAGGAGCTATAATGAAAATCAAGTATAGTTGTATGCTGGGGACATATTTTAAAAGTAGGAGTCAGAAAAGAAAAAAGATAAATGATAATGAATAATTAGGCAGGTAGATAGATATTAAAACAGTGGAAGTAAGTAGAGAAGAATGTATGGGAAAGGTAAGATGAGAGAGAAAGAGGGAGGGAAGAAAAGTTTTAAAGGGGAGCCGGTAGAGCTTAAAAGGAGAATGGGAAGAAGGAAGAAATGGGGGAGGAAGCAAAGCAGGTCTGAGGGAGGAAGTGAAGAAAAAAATTAAGGTGGGAAGGAAGGAAAAGGGGAGGGAGGAGAGGGGTAAAGATAAAGGAAAGAAGAAATGGGAGGGAGGGAGGGTAGGAGAACGATGGGAAGAAGGATGATGGAACAGAAGTAGGAAATAAGGAGAAAAGTAAAGTTTATAAATGATGAATCAGTAGGAAAAAGTGTTACATAAAGGAGAGAGAAAAATTGTGTGAGAGGGAGAAGCCAATAAGGAAGTCAAATACAACTATGTGTGAAGGGGATAAGATTAAAAAAAAAAAAAGTTAATAGGGGGCAACCAGGCTGGCAGGGGAGGGCAGTTAGGGGGATCAGGCAGGCAGGCAGAGTGGTTAGGGCAGGTAGACAGGTGAGCAGTTAGGAGCCAGAGGTCCCCGAGGGCTCCCAGATTGGAGAGGGTGCAGGTCAGGCTGAGGGACTCCCCCCAACGCCCCCCCCCCCCCGCACAAATTTCATGCACCAGGCCTCTAGTAAAAAATAAAATTCTGAGTTTCAAACTGAGAGCAGAATTTAAGTTAAGTTACTAGACCTCTCTCTGCCTCTAGACATATTGGCCTTCTTGCTCTTCTTAAATAATCTGAATCTACTTCAGCCTTAGGGTCATTGCACCCTAGTTCTTTCTCCTAAAATGATCTTACCCTACACATGATATGCATGGTTCACTGGTCTCTGACCAAATTTGGTCTCCTTAGAGAGCTTTAAAAAGAATCTCTGTTCATGTAGTATTCAGCTTCATCTTTCTTAAAACCACTTTCATTACTTAACAATTCTTATATAATATGTAATTTATAATTTATTATATGCATTGATTTATTTATATTTCATGTATTATATGCACAGTGGTATCCCCAGCCCTGAAGACATTTGTTGAAGTAATAAATGTATAAATAAATCTAAAGTAATAAAATTAAATTCTCTCTATATATCAGTATCTTAAAATAGTCTTTACTTTCAAATCTCATCAATATGAGATAATAGCAAAATAGAGGACTGGAACATTCTGAGTATAAATTTATCTTTGACCTCTGCAACTCAACCAAGTTATGTATAGTAATAAAAAATAATAATCAATATTATCTTAATAAGTCCACTTGATATGATTACCAAGATGATTATTAGCCAATGATTCTTTCATTTATCATATACATAAAATCTTCAGTTCAATGCTCTGGGCACTTGTCCATGCAACAGCTAAAAGAGGCTATTGATTATATGATTATAGACCAATTGTACTTTTGTTTAAAAAGAGCTCCACTTCCCTCATTTCTTATTGATTTCTATCCGAATTAATTTCTCACAAGCTAACTGAAATGTAATGCCTGACATTGGGCTTCTGAAGCTACTCAAATTCTTGCTTGTACTAACTCTCTTTTTTATGATTAGCTTTTTTTAGTTCATCAGATAGAAATTGATTTCCTAGAATTACTTAATATTTAGATAATGATTAAATGGCTTTTGTTCTTGCCAAATTACTATTTATCTTAAATATGGGTTGAGAAGTTGTGGATAAAAATATTGAAGAAATCTCTCCCTCTCTTTAAATATATATCTACACTAATAAAAGAGAAAAATGGTAATTGGCGTATAGCGCTACCCTTTTCATTGGCTAATCAGGGCTATATGCAAATTAACTGCCAACTGAGATGGCAATTAACTGCCAACAAAGATGGCGGCTAATTTGCATATGTAGGCACAATACAGGGAGGCGAAAGGGAAAGCAGGAAGAAGCCCCCTGCCACTGACAGTGATCGGAAACCCAGGGGGGAGCTAAGAGGTGGGGGCCGCCTTTGCCCTGCCCCCCAGCCATGATCGGAGAATCAGGCGCCCTTGCCGCCCTGGCCAGTGATAGCAGGAAGTAGGGGTGGAGCCAGCGATGGGAGCTGGGCACAGTCGAAGCTGGCAGTCCCGGGAGCTAGGGGTCCCTTGCCTGGGCCTAAAGCGGAGCCCACGATCGTGGGGCCGCTGCAGCTGTGGGTCCCTGCTGCCCGAGCCGGATGCCTCAGCCAGAGACATCCTGCAGGGGCAGGGGCGGAGCCCACGCAATCGCGGCACCCCCTGCTGCCACTGCGGGTCCCGCTGCCTGGGCCGGACGCCTAGGCCAGAGGCGTTAGGCCTGGGCAGGGGCAGAGCGGGAGATCGTGGGGAGCTGGAAGTCCCCTGCCCAGGCCTAATGCTTCGGCCAGAGGTGTTAGGCCTGGGCAGGGGCAGAGCGGGAGATCGTGGGGAGCTGGGAGTCCCCTGCCCAGGCCTGACACCTCTGCCGGAGGCCTCAGTCCTGGTCAAGGGGCTGATCCGGTGATTGGTGATTGGAAGGTGATGAGGGTCAACTCCTCTGGCCGAGGCATCAGGCCTGGGTGGGGGGCAGAGCCGGGGATTGGAGGGATATGATGGTCCCCTTGCCCAGGCCTGAAGCCTGGGTCAGAGGCGTCAGGCTTGGGCAGGGGGTGGAGCAAGTGATCAGAGGGAGATGGGGTCCCCTGCCCAGGCATGATTCCTGGGCCAGAGGCCTCAGGCCTGGGCGGGGGTCAGATCCAGTGATCGGGGGGATATGGGGGTCCCCTGTCCAAGCCTGATACCTCTGGCGGAGGCGTCAGGCCTGGGCAAGGGGCCGATCAGGCGATCGGAGGGTGATGGGGGTCTATGCCTCTGGCTGAGG